TTTAACCTCAATTGCCCCAGGGACTGGCTGACCCAAGTGTCTCCTCTAGGCCAGTTTGATGAGGTGGCCTCCTGGGATGCTTGTCCAGCTGTCCTGAAGAAGCTCCCATATATACACTGAGCACTGCTCTTGCTTCATTCTCTGGTCAAACTCCCCCAAAAGCATTTCTTTCCATTGTTTGTTTCGGGTGGTTTCCCCCTTCAGTCTCCTCCTCAGGAGGTGAAATGCATGCTCAGCTGGGCTACGGTCTGGTGATTGACTTGACCAGTCTAAAACCTTCCATTTTCCCCCAGATGAAGTCCTGTGTTGAATTGGCCATGTGTTAAGGATCATTGTCTTGCTGCATGATTGAGTTCCTCCAGATTAGTTTGGATGCATTTTTCTGTGAATTGGCAGATAAAATATTTCTGACGACTTCTGAATTCATTCTTCTGCTATCATCATGAGTTAATCAATAAAGATTAGTGAGCCTGTTCCAAGAACAGCCATGCCAAGACCAAGCCATGACAACCTCCACCGTGCTCCACAGATGAGCTTGTATGCTTTGGATCATGAGCAGATCATTTCTTCCTGTACACTTTGGCCTTTCCATCATATTGGTAGAGGTTAATCTTGGTCTAATCAGTCCAGAAACCGTATTTTTTTCAAATTCAAATCTGGCTTTCTGATTCCTACCACTGATGAATGGTTTGCATCTTGTGGTAAGACCTCTGTACATTTGTTATTTTCCATTTCTGACCCATTCAGCATCTGCTGCTCAGTACTCCAGTGGTTTCTTTCTTTCTCCAATTCGTTGTATTGTCAATGTCCAATACCTGTGCATTGTCTCTGATTGGTTTTCCCTCTTTTCTCATCTGCAAAATGGCTTGCTTTTCTCCTATGCTTCTTCTTTTCTATAGACAACTCTCTGGTCTTCACTTTGGTTTATCTATTTTGACAACAAATATAGTCTTCACAGGTGAAACCCAAGGCAAAAACCAAGAGCAGACATTCAGAGCTATTTATTATTTAAAAAATCAGTTTAACAGGACAACCCGGTGATGTAATGATAAAAATTACATAAATATATTGAGGCCACATTTTAATTTATCATGAGAATAAATTAATAAAATGTGGCCATGATTTAACTAAAACAAGGGAACAAATCAGTTTGGTCATGCGGCCTGACTCTCAATATTCTACCTAAGTGCCTTATCTGTTTGTATAAAATTACACTCTTCATATGCCACAAACCAAAACAAGACTAAAACACGATAACAGTACAGTGGTACCTCAGTTCTCAAACCCATTAGAAATCGAATTTCGTAAAAGTCGAACCAACCAGTTAAAAAAAAATTACCTAGGACTCGATCTGAATCTCAGAAGTCAAACCGTGAATGCCGACCTAAGATAATTTGTACGCACAGGGAAATAAGTCACGCGGCACGTCTCTCAGCGGAAACAAATGGTAATGCTTCAGTCTCAGCCTCGCATTCGCTGTGATAGCATCATGCATGTTTACACTAGCTGAATACATACATTTAGACAGTAAAAAAATACATTAGACAATGATAGACAGTAACAGTAATTATTATTATATAATAAAATACATTTAAAAATAAAGATTTCTTATTAATTATTTTAATACATTTAATTATAATGATATTGTCGTGCCAAGTGGGGACGGAACGGAGACAAAGGCGCAGAAGTCCGGGTATCGGGGAATACAGGGTTTAATTACAGGTAAGGCAGGCAAAACGCAGATGGACAATACAATGACCGGACTGGGGAAACAAACTGAAACGCGGACTAAATACAGGGGACTAATGACAACAACCAGAAAGAGCTGATCACACGGGGATTCCACACGGGGTTAACGAGGGGACGTGGCACACGGAAGGAGCGGACGATCGGGGCAGAACACATTGTTTTTTTTAACTTTACACATTATTTGGATAAATTGGACAAATTACTGTTTTGATAAATGTGCTTAGATGTGTTTAGTACAGTATATGCTCTTCTTGTTTTATCCGGTTCATTTTGTGCTTAAATGCTAAAAAAAAAATATTTAGGTGTAATTTTTTGGGGGGCCAGGAACCAATTAATTGGTCTTCCATTATTTCTTATGGGGAAAATTTGATCAGAACTCGAACTTTTTAGGATTCGATCCGAAGTTCTGAACGGATTAAGTTCGAGTTCTGAGGTACCACTGTAGGACAAAAAGAAACTAAAAGCACTCCTAAAGGTGAAATTATTGTACAAGTCCAAGTTGTGAAAAAAAATCTGTTCAACAAGAATACAGAAGTATTTACTGTTTTTGAAGCAGATTAATATGCAGTACTTGAATAAGAAAACTATGTGTACAGTATAAGCTATTGTACTGAATGCTTTCTTTTATATTTGGGTAATATGTCCTCTTAATTTTAGTACATTCAGCCAATGCCTTAAGGAAGATCAGTGTCATATTCCAAAAAATATGCCAGATATTCCAAGGGGATAAATGAATCACTTCGGAAAAACATTTCCCACTGAGCCCGAGGGCCCAGGCCTCTACACCTGTCCCTTGTCGTTATTCTGCGTTATGCACCGCAAACGGTACAAACAGTTGTTACATGTTTTTCGTTGAAATTATTCTGGTATATCAGGTTTTCACTGTCTATCAATGCTGTGCGTTTTAATTTTTATATTTCTATATCTTACCGGTCTCTATTTCAAAAGCCATTTAGACTTTGCAGTACACATTAGCTAATTTTTTTTTTTTCTCACAATCTTTCACAAATCTCATTTGAAATGAAATCGTCAATTATTAATTATTGCATTATTGCTGCCTATGGAATGTGCAGATCTGTGGTAATTTTACGATAAATAAATACCGATGGCAAGGTAGATCATAATTTACATGCAACATAAGTTTAAGAAAAGAAACTGCATTTGCTTCGATTTTAGTAAATTTACTAGTTTAAATATTAAATGCCAAAATGCCAAAATATTTATATACAAAGAGAAAGAAAAACTTGGTTTATCTGTAAACGAAAACATTATTATGTTCTGCCTTGTTCAGATAACCAATGGAAGAACATTCAAGGAATGTTCTTGTCTCAACATGAACTTAAGCTGGTATTTTCAAATAACTGCAATAAACACTGCAGTAAAAACACTGTATATGTCATATTATCATAATTACTCTCCCAGTGTAATATTTGGATATTTAAACTGTATATTTAGCGTATATATTTTAGGAGAACCCATTAGTCAAAATTCTGTTAATTACAGTACGTAAAATGATGTCTAACATTTAACTGCTATTGTTGCCAGCTTTTCCCATGGAGGCTGGTGAGAATCCCGCACTGGTTTTGTTTTTTTGACTGTCGCTCTATTTTAGAACTACACTATGTGTCACTTTACATGTAATTACAGTATATTATATATAAAATCATATAAACATGCATCTGGATATATATGGTGCATATAGGCCTTTCCCATCATTCCACAGTACAAAAGCACACATATGTCTGTCAGTGTAAATTGCTTCAGGGCAAATGTTACCATGAACGTCTACTGATGTGGGCTTCAATCAGTCCATTAACAATTTTAGGCAAATAAAAGGCAAAGTATCTGCAAGGAATTACACAGAAAGTACAATTTTGCATGCAACTATTCATAAGTTGTCTCAAAACCTAAACATCATGCGTATAAAAAGTGGGAGTATTATGTTAACATAAAAACAGATCATTTGGTCATGCTTACAACTGCAGACCAGCTGAGCTTCGTTTCACAGCTGTCCATCTGTTTTGAAACTGAGTCTCCGGACGTACATTCCCAGCATTTCTCTTCCTGGGAAAACCAGTTCCCGCTTTTCTTAAGTTGCCTATATTCATCTGATTCAGCCTGGAGTAATGAATTTCCCAGTTTCCAAAACAAGGGATGGAATTGGAATCACAAATAAAGTCAGGAATAAAACCTACCATTCATGATTTTATTGCAAAAAAAGAATAATCTGGCTATGTTGAAATGATTTCCACACATTATTCAGGAGTGAAATAAAAATATTCCTTCAGACGGAAATCATGTTTAAATTAGATGTAAATACAAAAAATGAACTGGCAAAATAGAAAAATGGGGAAAACTGCAACAAATCCAACAAATATTAATTTGAAAATCTAGCAGGAGTCAAGAAAAAGTGTCAAGAAAAATAGAGACAAATACTATCCTTATATTGGGTTATACTCTGTAAATTCTTCTGTAGATTATAGTAAACATTTCTATGAATAACTGGTTGATTAAATAAAAAAAAATCCAGTATATCCAATTTAGAACTGGAAAATGTTTGCAATTTCCCTGTGTTATTATGAGTTTCCTGGCCAGTTCACTCGAGGTCTGGGCATCTTAATCCAGCTGAGCTCATAAATGCGGTCAAACCAAAACGAGAAAACAACAGCTAATTGTAAAATATGTCTTGTTATTTAAATCTAGGCAAAATTTTCTCACATCTTAATATAAAAATGCTATGTATGCATGTTTGTTTGTTACGTGTATCCATTCTTAGCAGTGCCTCTGCATCTATTATGAAGATTAAGCAAACGAAAGCATGAACACCTACAGTACAGTAGGATCAAACCCTGACTATAAATGAGATGTTGCAAAAGGTCATCTAGGTCACCCAGTGGGTTGATAGTTACAGATTTTCAGCTGTTTGCATGTTAATCAGTCTGAAAATTCTTAAATTCATTTGACATTTAATATTTGTCAACCGAACTCTTTATACACAGGAAAATGCATCTTTACATAATTCAATGTTATTAACGGTGTTATTTTAAAAATGCAATTTACTAAACATCCTGTAAATGTACGGATAGTTAGAACAACAGGAAACCTTTTCAGACAATTAATTACAGATGACATGTACCTGCGATGTGGGGTTTGTTGTGGACTGGAAACACCTATAAAGATTATTTAATAAATTCTGGAAAACATCAATATGGAAGGAACAAGTACTTTAGACCTTAGAATCTGCTTCCTACCTGGTACCACTTCAAAAAGAAATTTTCCTGCCTCATCGCCATTGTTTGGATGTTCCGTGACTCTGTTACCATGCAAAGCAATTGTCCCCTGTAAAAAAAATAAAAATAAAAATCAAGACACAACAATCATAAAATGTAACAGAACACAATAAGTCTTGCACTAAGTTATCAAAATAAGTTAACAGTCTTATACTGTAGTCTCCGCTCAGTTCCTAATTACATGTGGAAGTGCAATATTTCAGTTTTTCAATAAAGTACAATCACAAAATGTGCGCAGGTTGAAAACCAGAGAAAATTTGTGGATACTTAATTATATGTTAAAGCCAGTTGTGTTAACCAGGTTGTGTATTGGTCCCTGGAGGTCTAAAGAACTAAGACAAGTGTTTATAAAAGATGAAAAAGTAGGTTAATAACAGCAGAAGTTGTACTTCAGCTGGTTTGACTATGTTTAACTAAGAGATCATCCTTTGCGGTCCTGCTCTAATTATAGCCTCAGCATGTTCCAAAGCTCTATCTACTCTATCACTATTAATTAATACAATACAGTCTGCTGAAGTTATACTGTATGATGTTTACATTTCCGCTTTTGTGCTACAGTTTCTACAGAACTGGGCTGTGATGCCCCAACAAACTGTGTTGCTGATCAGTTTCCCTCATATTGACCAGCCGCTCAATGCTCAAGGCCCAAAAAGCAAAAATGCATCCATTTTTTCCCCTGTTTTTGTGTATCTTAATTGTATAGAAATAGCATTGGAAAATTTGGGGTCAATGGCTGGGCAGCTAAGGACAGCAAAATTAGATATCGATAACATGAATTCTTATTTATTATAAGCAGTGCTTGAAGTGGGAAAAAATAAGTGCAGGAACTCTAATTTTCCGGCATTTGACATTTGTGCGGTGAAAAAGAAATCAAGTCTTTAGGATGTGTTGGTTCAAAAACTATTTTAATTTAATCATTCTTCCAAGCAATAACCTATAGGCATAGGCTACTTTTTTCTAATTCACAAATGGAATACTGAAAAACCATTAAACCAACATGAACCAGACCAGTGTGATACTTGTAGGCCTAACAGACTAGGGCTAAAGCTGATGCGATTGGTTGGGACTCAGTGGATGTATATGATAGGGCACTGTCGTGGCTCGTGGGTAATGTAGTCTTTTATCGGTCTTGTGATATTGTCTATTCTCGGGCCACTGTCGCTGCGTCGGATCAGTTTCAGTAAGTACCGGAAGGCAGAAAAAAGTGGCGGAACCCAAAAGACGAAAATACAGAAGTTCCGGAACTGTGTTCCGCTGCGTTCCGGCCCACTTCAAGCACTGATTATAGGACCCAAGAACTAAACAAGGAAATGCTAGGGCCTATCTTCTATCACAATGCTGAAATTGTGCACAGTATAATGTAAAGGCACAATTTTTCTAAATGTGAAGGTGAACTAAATGAATATTGATAGCAATTAAGTCAACATTAAACACTGAATGCCTATCATTAAAAAAGTATGTTTTAATGCATACTACATGCACTTTTGTGAGCTGATCCACTATGCAATTACTGCCTTTGAAAGTGAATTCCTACTGTGAAAATGGACCTTTAAATCTTTACTGTAAAACGTGGTAAAGGGAGCGATACCTATGCGTATTACGGACTCATAAAGCTGGCGTTGCTTCTTCAGTAAGGGTTTGAATGACCAGGTTTGATGTGGGTTGCGGTAGGCAATAATTCGCTAACAGGAAGCAGTTATCTAGTTTCAGCCTTAAACATAGAGATCATGGCGATAAATGAATAAAGTAACTTGAAGCTTTCTAAGATTTTCAACATCTGCTTGTTTTTTATAACACCAAGGTACTTAAATAGGCACAATGACACGAGATTTTATTACGGGTGTCCCAGGGTATTTCTTACCACTCGAGGAACAGATTAATAACGTGGTACAAATAATTGTGACTCCCTTTGACCGTGATAAGCAGTTAGAAGATGAATGGATGATTGGACCTGAGTGCAACTGCCTGAACTCACTCCAACATAATGCAGACCAGCTAACCTGAGCGTTCTGTTGCTGCGTCAGACACATCCACCGCCTTACAAATTTTACGTAAGATTTTCTACTTTGTATTCAAATAAACAAGGTGGTTGGACTGCATATGCTTTAACCCTAGCATGAATCTTTAATTCGTCCCACTCTGTGTCCTGGCTGGTTGTCACTCCAAAGCCAGCCAAGTACACAGGAACGTGTCTGTTCTTTCTTTTACTCCGTGAAAATGAGGACAACAAAGGACAACAAAGAGATGGGAAGTTTCTGAGAACATGATATTGGTATGTAACTAGCAGAGGAAGAGATCGGCACCGCAGCAGGTCAGCGGGCAAACTCACACCTCAGGCTTCCTCTCTGTCTACAGAGGCTCTTCCAGGGATTCTGGCAAATAAACTCCGTGAGGCCCTCCAGCTCACCGTGGTAAGATTTACTATAATTTTTTAAGCCTGAAGTCTAAATTAATAATACGAATAAGGAGAATTTAATAAACACAACTCGTTACTCCTACTTTTGTGTTAAACAGAATACACAGATAACGCATATTTGTCAGCGCGATGTACTAATCGGCCACCCTGGAGGAGGGGCGGCTGGGGGGGGGCTCCAGGCTACTGCCAGCCCTGCCTGTCCTGTTGCAGTGCCCCTGCATGTCTGTGCTGTTTCAAATGGTCTCTGCACCATGTGGGTTTCCTCCAACAGTCCAAAGACATGCACTCAGGCTAACTGGCGTCTCAGTGTATGATAGTGTGTGTGTCCTGCGATGGACTGGAATCCTGCGATGGACTGTTAATCCCTTCTTGTGCCCTCTGGTGCCAGGGATTGGGGCCCAGCCCCTGCGCAACCTTGCTCAGAATAAACAGTTGGAATATGGATGTATATCAGCAGAGCTTAAGCATCTGGGCTTCAAATAGTCCTTCAAAATTATATGAATTTCATCTCTAAAGGATGATTAAGCAACTTGGATGAAAACTAAATAAAGCCCAGTTACCTTTAATTATGTGTGGTGTCTTAGCATGATCATCTGCATAAACTGAGGTTTTGCTTTTATATATGACTAGGGTTTAGATTTCATAGCTGCTGAATTGAAGACCATATCTGAAAGATAATTAGAAGCGGTGGATAACTGAACCAGATTCTTCTGACATAAGATCCTTCTGCCATAAACACTTGTTTGAACTTGTAGCTGGTCAGTGACTTTCAGTTTCTGTGGGTCTGCTATTCTATCCAATAACAATCAGCTGATGAAGTTTCTGGGAGAGCCTGACGTTGCTGTTTACAGCATGAATTCAGTGGAACAGCTCTGTAAAGTGCTTGACTACATGCCTGTTACACATGTGGATTTTTTTTCTCTGCTGTTACTGAAAATTTATTTCAATTTTTACTTTTTAGGTAGGCAATCCTGTAAGGGATTTGTAAACAGAATGTTAAATGCACTTGAAATGACATGTGATTTATTGAAACATGGAATGGGTGTCACATTGGTTGCTGCCTAATGATTATTCACTAAAATATCATTAGTGCTATTTTGCATTGCATGCTTGTACATGGATTTGCAAAGGTTTTTGTTTGCAATTTATTATTTATATATCTATTTATTCCGATGTGGTACCAGTACTGTACCAGTTATGTGATACACAGAGGAACACATACAGTAAATCCTTCTGCTGGGATTAAAGGAACACTGAATCTACAAATACATCTACTTATTTTATGTCATGACAAGACAAGACAGAAGTGTCAAGGTTTTAACTGCTTAGGAAAAGAATAACAGTGTGTGGCTCTAAATCTCACGCTCAGCAGGGTGATTTCATCATTGTGCTCTTTAGCTAAGCCCTTACTCGCCAATACTATTACAGTTTGTGGCTACAATGTTGTTTTTAATTTGAATTTCATTATTTACTGTTATGGTTTTTAGATTATTTCACTTTTGGGTTTATTCTCTGACCAAAGAAATAATAATAATAAAACTGGTAATTTTGTAGGACAGTTACTATTACAAATTGAAACCAGTAATAAAATAGTAAAACAGGTTTTGATCCATAAGTAGTTTGAAAACTTTAATTTCCAGTTACAGAGGACATGACATACTGTCAAAAGTCAAACATTTAGATATAATTCATTTGAGCACGTTCGATCAATGCCTTATAGGAGTGTTATCATTTCAAATCTGGCTCTAGCTATATTTTTTTAGTTTTTTTGCATTCTTGTTCAGAGTAATCTCGATTTGTGTGTCTGTATGTGTGTGTGGGTGTGTGCGTGCGTGTGTTTGTGGGTGTGCGTGTGGTTCCTTTCATTTCACCTGGGTTCCCTCTTATTTTCGGTTGTGTTTTTGTTTCTAGGTTCTCTGTATCTTTGTAGGTCTCTGTTTGTGCTTGTTTGGGTTTCTACTGGGATCTCTTCGCAATTGCACTGGTTTTGTGTTTCATAGACATACAGTTCATGAGAAGAGATGTGCCTGAGCTGTATGATAATGTGGCCTGACATGGGTGTACAGTAAGCGCTCTTTACTTCCTATACATGCATAGTGATATGAAGACATACGGTCATCAAAAATATTTAGAATAATAATATCTAGAATAATCACTGGAAACAAATGGCAGCAAATGACATAAGTAATATTCGGTGGTTAACAGACTGTCCTCTTTCTCTCATTTCCTGTGTTTGCTGCTGCTGTATCAGAACCTTTCTGAATCTCTTACATATGCTGTTTACGGCTGCACATGACCTTGAACATCCCACATTCCACTGAAGGGGTGACATTTAAATGGTGCAAAAAAAAAGTCAACCCAATGTTCAATTGTTCACTTGATCAGGGTGGCACAACCTATCTGTGGACAGGTGTGAATTATTTTTGTCACCAGTTTTTTCAGCTGTCACAGTCTAATCCTGTTTTTCATCAAGAGTATGAAATATCCATGAGAAATTCTATCATTCAATGTTTTCCATATTGTGAAGACAAGAATGCCATTCGAGACAGTTTGAAATTTAGGGGGGCACAGCTTAATAATTGAAACGTAAAGGTCTTTTGATTGTACGGGACAAATGAAGCCAAATTAAATACTGGGGGGGGGTCTATTTCCTCACAATCCCCCATGATCCCTATGCCCCTGATGACACGGTGTAATGGTCAACTACTGAACACAATATCAAAAAGTATCTGTAGTATAAATCACTCCTTGCCAAACAAGTCTTCATTATATACATTATAACATGTCACACTGTGTGAATTAATACTCATATGCAGATCATTCCAGCATACAGGCATTACTGTTGTGGAGATGTTGATCTGGGCGTGCTGGGTGCGTAAGAACACGCACGCTCTACGCCATCGCCATGCCCACACGTGTCCCCTCGCACATAATCTGACCTCTAACCACCAGTATACATTCCTCACATTCCACACATTGCCCAAAGCAGCAGAACTCATACCCACTGCACAAACGAAACTCCCCCTGGTGACAGTGAAATAATGCCCGGGGGTCTGAAAAGCTTTCGTTCAATGATTTAGACATAATACAGATAACCCAGCAGTTACGCTTTCAATAGCATCTGATATTTTATGCCAAGAATATAAGAATATTAGATTTTATTTATCCCCGGGAAGGAACGCTAAAAATGAATAATACGTTCTGCATTGATAATTATAAAAAAGAGACATTGGCAACTGTAAACAGATATCAGTTATCACAACTTGAGTGATTATCTGACTGTAACTGTAGATTCTGGCTGATTGTAGGTAATAATGCGTCACTGCAGACATACCTGCCTAACGATACATTCCAGTAGAGTTAACCTCTCTGCCTTGGACCACAGGTGAAAGGGAGAACTCTGACCAGGCAGACTGGTGCAGCTGTCTGCTGTCTGCTCACTATTTTGATATAGTTCAATCCAACTCTATGCTCTACTTGTGCAACAGCAAAAGTAATTGCTTCATGATAGCTATACTGTTCCATTAAGGGACCCAAAGACATTGCTCATTTTATTGTGATCCACTAATTTTACCAACAAAGCATGGATACTTACAGATTATAACTGCACTGCAGAGCATTACCACAACTACACACAATGATCAGTTCATGTTAACAGTTTGCCTTTGATTCTTGGTGTAAGCTCACACAAACATGAAGTAAATGCCTATCACTCAGTTTAACGCTGGCCCAACTCTTACAGAAAATGTTCGATAATAACGGGACATTTTGCATTTGTGTTATTTCAGAAAAGTAACTAAAAGGTGTAATTAGGCAACCTGCAGTTTTAGGGCACCCGGCACAATAGAATAATCAATTTTTGAAAATATGTAAAGCTTTCCTTCACCAGTGAAAGGAACAACAAATGTATTATCTGGCAAGGGCTACTCTCCACACCCGCCACCCACTTTCAGGTTTGGCAGTTGCAACCCTCGCATGTCTGGAAACAGAACAATAGCCTTACAGTAATCTATCCTCTTCAGGGACGTTTAGATCTCAAGGAAATTTTAAATTATACTGTTCAGCTGGAAATTTCATATGAACAATAAATAAATGCAAACATATAAAAGTATACAGCATACAATTTGTAAGATAGAATGAATGATCAATATCATATCTGTTTCCCATTTTCATTTTTAGTTACAGCTATAACTGAGCTTCTACTGAGCATAATTTATTATTCATGCAATCTTCAAAAAAATCTGAACCAGTCACAGAATACCTCGCTTGCCCTCCTTTCTTTGTCTTCCGTGCTGGACTGAAATGGAGACTATCTTTTCCTTTCTTTCAAAAAGGAAGTTAACAAGATTCCAGGATAAAATGCTAATACTGCATCACATGCCCCCTTTAGAGGTTTGCGACACTGCAAAACTGTTTGGGGCCCTATGAGACTGGCCCCGCTAAATTGTACAACGCTATTATTCTTCTCTGAAATTAATGGTTTTGAGAACAGCCATTCCAATTCCTACTTACATATAGACTCAGACCTGGCCCTGTGGAGTTTTGTCACACAGCAAGGACCACCGATTGCGAGTGCAATGTAGTATGGAATTTACATCACATCTTAAATCAAGAAATGAAATATTTTCGCAAGAAAAATTTCAGAAGGCATTGTTGCCTGGACAGGTTGAGTTCATTCCCTTTGCTTTTGAAGCAATATATAAAATGTACACTGTATGTTAGTTAGAAAGGTGTTTATACCTGAAACATGACTGCTGAGTAGCCATTAATGGTTAATCTATATTATGGGTGATATTTCATGCAAAATATTTCACCAAACCAGTGTTTAAGCTCTTGCGTTGGATTTGTAAATAATGGCTTCTGTCATCTGTTTATATTTTTAAAAAACTGTAAATTACACAGCTGTGTTAAATAAAAAAAAACTCTTGATGTGTACAATTGTCAACAAGTAAAAACACATTACAAAAACTCAAAGTAACATTACAGTCATAAAAGTCACAACACAAAAAATTAGGAACTTCCTAAATGAAAACTTAAAAAAAAAATACAACTAAAAAAATGGAAAATAATTAAATAAGTACTCACCAGGGCCTTTGTTTCATCCTCATCTTTGTAATAATAGAGCTGCTCTCCCTTGAGGACAAACCATCGCGTGTGCCAGGTCTTCACAAACCCTCCTTGCTTTCTCAACCACCCACACCTGATGACATGCTGCCCACTGTGTCCGTGCTGTGGAATGGTGCTGGAATCCACCGGTTCTTCCATCTTCTGCCCAAGAGACATGTCTGTTAAAGAGAAGATGAACCGAAAACATCACCTTTTTATTGCTGATAGCTATACCAGGCTTTTTAAGTGGAATTTGCTAACACGTGAATTCTGGTCACATATTTTATTTCTTTACACCACAACGGTGTGACTGACCTTACACTGTGCTTTCATAACAAGCACTGAATAGGTAACTCTTTGGCACACTTTGAAAAAGGAAATGAAATAGATCCATCTGACACAGAATTGCTTTGCATGTGGTAAAGCGTGCATTTGCCTCTTTCCAGATAAACAAATATGCTACGGGTTGTAAAATGCATAGTTGGCCTCTCTTGGGACTGGAAGCCTGGGATACAAATGTGTGTGGGAAGGATTTATGGGTAAAATACAAGGCACATTCAAACTTTTTTCATCTTTACTGAAAACTATACTGTACTGTAGGTAGCTGCAAGTCGTCCCCAGCATTTCCATTTACATTTAATGTCATTGTATAATTCACTCATTGAAAATCAGTACACGGTGAAATTATAAAAAGAATTTTAGTTGCTGTAAATGCTAATGCATTCTGCCCAGAATATGGAGATACAGTTATTTACTATAAAGAGGCAAGCAATACAGGAAGAGTTACTTGAGGAAAATGTCATTTCCCCAGGCCAACATAATTTTTTTTTTGCCCTGAGCTTTTGTGCTTTTGCAAAAAGCATTTTATTTTGACTTTTTATCCTGGATTTTTCATTGGTATGTAGTACAGTATATGTTTAAAAAGTAGATGTTAGGTAATATTATGCTAGTTTGACCCATTCGTTTTTTACCAGAGCTCTTTGTGAGAATCTTCTGCTTTTCAATAGACATGTATTTTTCCAAAATTACCACTGTCCTCTACTAACTTTGCCTGCATGAATTACTGCATTGTCAGACGTGGGGGGGGGGAAAAGGAAAAGTACTGGAAAATGTTCTGTAAAGAGTTTTAGTTTCTCATTCTTCTACAGTATGTCTTTCTCTGTGCTCAAATAACCCGTGACACTGACATGTTCATAGCCGTAGCTCTCACATTGCCACGTTGTCATAAGCTGAGCTGCTTTTCTGTCATTGACTTTCAAATGCAGATGAGCTCCAGATGTACTTTCATTCTTGTTGGAGTCTTTCCCTGAACAAGTGCCTGACTGTGGGTTATTAGACTCCCCCTTCAGAGAATCTGAGAGAATATCCCCGTTTATCCAGTGCAGCCTCTCAGGGCAGAGAACATGCACACACACAGACATACACACTATGGGCGACATTCGAGATGTAAATTTGCCTAATTGCCTACCTTTGCTAGAGGACAGCAAAGTACTCAAAAGAAACCCATGTGACATGGGGGAAAATGCAAAATAACACAAACACCAACCACAGAGCAGGCTCAGTATTCAAACACACCTAGTAAAAATAGTAGCTTGGAACACAAATGAACATGCACAAAACTCAAGTTGACACAAATAGGATGAGGCCTGGAGCCTATCCTAAGCAGTACAAGGCTGGTGGTCACTCTGCACAACATAATCCTATAACCATCCATCCACTAAGTCCATATTTGAACAACTCATCCTGTTCAGGGTCACAGAAGACCTGCGGCTAACCTAGGCAGCACAAGGCAGGTGTAGACTCCGCACAAGATCAGCCTATATCCAAATTAGTTCTAATTTCCTTTGTAGTTACATGCTAAACAACAGAATGTCTTTGAACTCTCAAATATTCACTTTTGGTAGTCAGCCTAAGTGCTATTTCAGGTGCATGCACAACATACTGTAATGTCTGTGAACACACCAATATTCACTTTTGGTAGCTAGTCTAAGTGCTATTTCAGGTGCATGCACAACATAATGTCTGTGAACACACCAATATTCACTTTTGGTAGCTAGTCTAAGTGCTATTTCAGGTGCATGCACATCTCTGTAGGCATTTGCCCATATGGATTATGACACATGTGCTAGTCTAAGTGCTATTTCAGGTGCATGCACATCTCTGTAGGCATTTGCCCATATGGATTATGACACATGTGCTAATACCCTGGAGCATGTAGAGGCAGCCCATGAAGAACAGAACATTAGCCACCTTGTGGCAGAGTCCCGTCTTCATGCCAGACCTGCAGGCCCTGATTTATTCCTCTTGCCTGTCTGCCAACAATGTTTTCTGCTAGTCGCGTATCGTGCCATTTCTGAAAAAATATTGTTCTTTTGTGAACACAAGCTAACATTTTAACACAAATATTATCCAACTCTTCAAGGATGCAACTACCAAACAGACAAAATATATCTATAAAGTAGCTTGCTGCAACATTTCAATATGCCTTCTATGGGGAAGCTTGCAGATTTCAAAATGACACGATTACTGTCAAAATGCAATCCTACATTTATAAATTCAACTTCTTATACAGAGGTCTGTGTAAGTTCTGTAAGTCTGTAAGTGTTTGTTTTGGTTTGTTTCTCACACAGGATATAACTTACAGAGTCACAGTTACAGGGTCAGTGGGAAAAGATGACAGTGACCATAAATATGCATTAAAGGAAGCACGAAAGTCTAAAGTTTTCACATGAACCACGAGTTTATAAACAGGAAGCAATTTATTCCTCCGAGATTTCAACAAAAAAAAGGAATTCACTGGCTTTGTTTTGTTAAATATAAGGGGAAGAAACTCCATCATTGTGACCTGTTGCCCAGAAAATATAATAATCAATACGGGCTACATTACACTTAGCAATGTTATTAATTTTTACTAAGACTTCAATTGGAACATGGCTTTCACAGTTGTTTGACTTTAAAATGGACTATAAAATATAAAGAAAACAGGTATATGGAGACAAGCACAATTATTGTCAAAGTATTAAGGTGAGAAAGACAAGGATCCTTGTCTTTCTCACCTTAATAATGTTCTGCTGTTTATTTAGTTCGATCCTAATCAAACTAAATAAACAGCAGAACATTATTACATTAAGAACAACTGAATTCCAGCGTTCACTTGCATTTTGGTTTCATATGCAATCGCGAGGAAAGCGAGATCCGAAAAATCATCTCATTGTACATGTCAATGGCTTTTGCTGCCACAGTCCATTAATTTTTCATAATCACTTGTCTAGCGCAAGGTCACAGCTAACCTGCAGCCAAATGCGGGAAGCATGGAGCACGTGGCAGAGGACCCCCAGGGCAACATGTCAGCCCATTTCACACACTCCCAGCCAGGGGCATAGCTAGAAATTCTGGCCCCCCTGACAAAATGTCACCGTAGCCCCCCCTGCCCCCTTACATTATATGATTTTATAATTTGCGTATTCAAAGGCCCCTATAAAGTGCTGGGCCCCCAGAATCTGCCAGGGCATCCACACCCCTACTGGGCCCCTGCCCCCGGACACCAACAGAGCTTATTAAGGCACATTAATTCACTTAAACTGTGTGTGTTTTTAGACTGAAAACCCCACAAACAACATAAATGGCAGGAATCGATGCCCCAGGGTTGTGATACCACTGTGCTTTCCATATACTGTAGATACAGTACCATATAGATTTGGCGTAATGTATTCAGAAAGTTATATTCTTAAAAAGACAGAATCAGTTTCTATGAATAGGAAACTGAAAACTGTATAACAGGCATCTTTTCAAAATCTTAAAGTCTTTTTTTAATTCTGTAAAGCCTCTGACAAATGAACACCTGGCAAGATAACAGACTCTTAAATCCACTGTCAGATGCAGCATACAAACCCTATTAATTATTCTCTTGGGTATTTTCAATATGAATAATTTTTCATTTCCAGAAAGCTCAGCCATCTGCCTTTCTGTCTGTTCACTCAAAGCTTCTGTAGTAGTGGCACTTGATGCATAAAATACAAAATCCATTCATTACACGAATGGCCATTACATTGTTCGTTATTTCAACATCTCAACTTCAACTGTCTTTTTCTGCCCTTTTTCTCTCCTAGAGGCTCCTTTAACAAAACAGATACCAGCTCAGAGCAAAAATTGCAATAAAATACAAGCAAGCTGATTTGATTCAGGCTTCATCTCACAAATCATTCCACCATAAATATTTATACTTCAGACTAAGTAATTCAATATATGAAATCTTTCTTTTACATGAAGCATTAATATTAGCGATACTTCAACTGAATCCAAGAATAGAACCATCAACAAGCATTGATGAGCATGAGAGTCAGAAGTAGTAGAATGATACAGTATGTTTAATACAGCCTAAGGTAACTAAAATACCTTTAAACCCTTAAAGACAATGAATGAATGCTGGAGCAAGGATATTTATATTGTGAAATAACTAAAAATGCATCTAATGCATTTAGAAGAACTTTTGTCAATGAGGTTCCATTGGACATTGTTTCTGACGGACTATATGTACAAAGCAAGTCAAAGATTCTTTGTTTAAGTGAAGCCACCATATTCAAACAGTGCAGAAATAGCAGCAAGCTAAGACTTATCTCCTTGACAATGTCAAACATTCGAGAGAGACTTTGGAGAAAATGCTGCCAACTAGAAAGGCAATGGTCAAACAGCAGCAGAATAGTATAAACCCAGATACTCACAATGAATAAATGCCAGGAAAATTCAATAAAGAGTGATAATATCAGCATATTGATTTTACGAGCAGCCTTTAGTTCAGGAACTAGAAACATTTCAGTTTCTACATGTCTTTCCACGGGGGAAGTCTAAATACTCAGACAAATATAACATGCATCGCAATTCAAAACCTGGCAGGAACACAAGCCAAGATTGAGGGTTCGTGCTGAAATGACACTGGAGTGCAAGGTGGGGGCGTTTTCCTCCATGGAAATGAGCGCCTATACTGAGGTCATAAAGAGGGCACAAGAACGTCTGACAAGATCCGTCAGACATCGTAGGGTCCTCACCGGGAGATTACAAAAAACAGCTTTTGTTGTGGGAGGTGTTCTAAGGTTTGTTCCGTCGCACTTACCCAGTACAGCTGTCTATTTATTCACTTTCCATCTTGGATTACTACTAGTCAAGCCTGATCTCAGCAAGTTCTATAAATATACAGTATAATGCTGCATGGGGAAATGTGAAAACAAGAAAAAAAGCGTATTCTAAAATCATTCATTGTTATTCACTTCCTTCTCTCAGATATAGCAGAAAAAAAATCCATCATGTTCCTGAGATGTTCTCTGTTAATATAAAGTTTATTTAAGATCTTGTTAAAAAAAAGTTGTGCGCAATCAATATGTACGCAACCTGTAACGTCTGTTTGACATAGGTAGTGTTGGATCGAATCAGAATTCCAAATACAAATTAGGCTCAACAAACATGGCTTAGGCCCAACAAATATGTTTGATACTGTAATACTATGTATTTTATATGAAAGAAATATAAAGCCATGCTTGATTTGAACATTTATATGCTGAAAAACTTAAACCCCTAAAAATATACGGTTGGCATGATGATCATTAAATTCAAACAGTTCGATTCTTTGATGATTGAGGGCACAATTTTGTCATATTGGGAGCATCTATTCATAAGCAAGCAGTGGATCTGGCTTACTGCACTGCAGTAATTAATGGGATATTCACAGGTCAAGACTGAGAGTCTCCAGTAGACATGTGGGAGGCCAGTGTGCCATCTGCTCTCTCTATCTGCTTGACGTGAGCCAGAATTATTGCCATTAGCAAGACAACAAATTCCCATGAAGCATTCATTAACGTCACTGCCAGCAAAAGAAACTTTTCTCCTAAACTTACCTTTGTATAATATTGATAATATTGACCTTATCTTGGTTTCAAGAAAACTATTTTTGCTCTTAAAATGTTTCATTATCAAGCTACAATAAAAAGACAACTGATACACGCATTTCGCTGGCCATTGCAGCGCTTCTCATTTTCGATAAAGTTGTCCCTTGTCTGAAACTCTCGCTTAACAGAAAATATAGGACTCAAAACTTTGCCAAAAGCTATTGGTAGCAAGTGCATTCTTCATAACTGCTGTGGAGCCCAGGCAAAAGAAACATTCATTAACACAACATCCACACTGGGAATAATAAGCATTATGTATTAGGCAGTAAGTGATCATGTAGCCATCAGTGATGCCTTCAGCCAAACTTAAAAAGAATGATTCACGGTTCATTGATGCTCATCAAACTGAATCATTATTGCCAATTATGGAAGTTTGATAGTGTATTGCTCTGTGAAAACATTTAACTATAAACAATATGTAGGTGTAGGATATGATTAGTAGTTTCTATTTGTTCTTCTTGGAAATGACCTAATGCATATAAAAGTCAAAGGTGAAACAGGAAGACTAGCAACAAGGTGGATGGACTCAATCATCTCGACGATGAATTGTTACAGCCATTGCCAAACTGTTTCCTAGCCATTAAAACTTTAATGTGCAACAGATGTTTAAACATGGCATTATTAAAATCTGTTCTGATATTAAGATTGGTGATGAGAAGTCAGTCAGGGCAGAATTTAGAATTAATGATTAAAAAATCCACATTTCAGTTCTTGAATAGCAACAACTTTGAGTAATTAACACTTGAGGAAAAATGTTTCTTGTATGAGATAATCTATTCAAAATCATGTCATATAAGCCAGCTAAGAATTATTATGTTTGTAACATAAAGATTCAAATGCTATTAAATAGCAGAACTGAAGTAGCACACACAGGAAATTTGCTTTCAACAGACTAAACGCAGATTGTGTATCTGCAGAAATGAGACTTACATCAGTTGACTCAGCTGCAGCTGACAGTCAGTCTAGTTAAAAGGGGCATGCAAACGTTTACACAATAATGCAAGGCAGATGATGAGAAAATGTATTCTAACTGAGCCAAAAGTTAAAAAATAATTTGACTGAACAAGTTCATAACACATCTCAAGGATGAAGGCTTATATCAGTTGTATTGGGAGAAACACAATTTGTTTTAAGAAATGTGACCTCTACATTTCCACATCAGAGCGCATACACACACACACAGACACACTCACACACACACGCACAATAACAAAACATCATCTGTGTACCTACCCTTAAGATCTGTCCTGGTGTTCCAGCAGTCAAAGTTGGTGTGAAATAAGATTATGGATGTGTAATCTATCAGTCTATCCACTGCCCCTTCACTCAAAGCAGAAGTAATAATCCAAGGTAAAGAGGCTGCACTCCATGTGAGATGTGGCCTTTGTCACCTCCATGTAGCTGTTCAGCTGCTTTTGTTTGGGACTGGAGTCTGGCGTCGACACAGGCTGTCATAAACCTCTCTCTTGACTGGTCAGACCATCTGTAGACTGGGGGTTGCTGGGGAGGGGGGGGGGAGCTGGTGGTTCTTGTCCGTGATCCGGCTGGGAGTTCAGGAGCAAGCAGTGTCCTCCACACGTCCGTCTTTAGCCTGAAGAGCAGAGGCACCAGACAGGCGACGTGCACGGAGCAGACGGGAGTGCATGTGAGTGCGAGCGTGTTTGGGGAAGTCGGCGGAGGAGTGTTCAAACGGGGCTGGCACTGCAGACTCAGGTTTCAGATTCCACACAGGCAAATGACAGCTCTGCCACACTGCCTGCTCATTCACACACACACACCCCTCTCACTCCCGGTCTCTCTCTGTCTCTCACTGTATCTCTTCCTCTCTCTGTCTGGCTCTTAAGTACATGCTGAGCCAGAACCTCAGTAAGGGTGACAGAGCCCGAGTGAAACAGCCAGCCACTTCTACTGAAATTCTGAACCCTCCCTAACCTTTCACATGAAACTAATGCTACTGATATATTGACTAAAGAATTCTATAGGCCTATAGCAGATCTGTATTGTACAACTGGTAAACTAATAACTTCCAGGTTCACTTTTAGGGAGTGAATGTTAACAAAAGTGTTTAAACTCTATTTGTCTTTTAGTCAAAATGACATGTCAAATGCAGTTATGCTACTGAAATACATGAATGTAAATATCTGGTGTATTTACACTTATGGTACAGTATCTGGCCCCTACTAGGCCCCCGTTACGTTTGGGTGCACTTATGACTCATATCTTGTTTGTACATCGTAGTGTGGACTCACACCGACATTTATGGTACGCCATAAACATTTAAAATTACGCCATAAACATTTAAATCTTCACTATTTATCCAAGTGCTCATGTTTTAGTCTTCCTTAGACACTTCAAATATCACAAAAGAAACTACAAAAACAGACATATACTGTTAAATACACTATCCATTGTTTTTATGTAATGCACTGTTTTTGGTATACGTCCGAATCGTTTAAAGAAACATAATTTTGTTACCAAAAATCTGAAGGTATTACTCGTGTTCTGGTGTTGATATATTAAATATGCGTAGAGGCGAAGCTGGAATTTATAAAGACTGGCGCTATTTTGCTTTAAAAATTTAAAGTTAATTTGGGTGCCTTTTTAGAAAATCATACTAAATCATTAGCTTCTGAATCCGTCCACGGTAAAAATGAAATAACAGCAATTCGCTTCCCAGTTCTTGGAATATCCCCCTTGAGAAACAAACTTCTGTTTTGGAATAAAGACTAATTTTAAATTCACTAGGGCTAAATTCGCTCTCATTTACTCAGCCAACGAAGCGAACTGCTCTGCCGTCCAAGGCCACGTGAGCGCCTCGCGCGGACGCTGCTTCCAGTACATTCTATCCAGTGCCAGACAATGCAGTACGCCGTCATTACTCACGCCTGCCCCCAACTTGAGAAAACAGGCCAGTTAAGTACTTTCAGCTCTATAAATGGAAATTAAGTATCAGATTGTTATCCGAGTTTCTCTTAAAAGCATTAATCTGTAATCCAACCACAGTGTAATCGTGTTTCATTGTGTAGGTTCCTCATAGAGAAAGACAAACTTTTTTTTAAGAATAATGAACAGAACAAAGGATGTACAGAATCATACACCTTTCAATAGAACCTTATAAAGAAAATATTATAAAGAAACCAATTTTAATTTAATTTTCCTGAAACTTATCTCGAGGTTACTGAGCCTCGTCTCAGAGCATGCTAACTTAGTTGGGACAGGCTGCTTGGTCGCATATTATGCAAATTTCACATTACTTATAAAGATTTTTCAACTCAGTAGGCTATAAGAAGACATAACTTATAATTAAACGTTTATATTTTGTTAATTTGTATTTGGAAAGGGCTGTTGAGGGGCCGTGGAGTAGGCATGGTGTAGGTACAGTACGTAAGCATGCAACCTTAATTAGTTTCAATGAAGAGTAAATTACTTACAGATAAATGTATAATTTTTTACGCACTAAAAAGATTTTTTTCAAAAAGTTTTTCAAGAGATGCCAGCTTCTGACTTAGTACACTTAGAGTGTTGTGTTTAGGATACCTTAAATTTCCAGAAACTATAGTTTTACTAATAAAAGCAGTTCGCCTTATACTGTATGCAGATTTCGAATTGTGCTGTACCTCTGCACACATTCTGCCATGGTATTTCTTTTCCCAGTACAAACTCCGGTTTTTACTTAACAAGGTAATTCATTAGGAAGTGGCGCCAGGAAAGACAGCCGGAAGCCGGCAACTTGTTGTATTTTCACAGTTGTCTTAAACCAGCTGCGCACACCCATAAATAAGCAAGGAAAGTGATTTTTGTTTAATTTTGTTTTGTCATTGGGTGTTTTAATTTGGGCATCCTCCCTCAATATGTAAACAAGGTTTATGAAAATTACACTTTGGGCCAAACAAAATCTTGATAAAACGTAAAGGTGCAACTATCTGCAATCCCGAGTCTAATAGATTAGAATTGCATCAAACCTCTAGATAAACCATTTAAAATATTCACTCATGGCTAAATATAATGTGAAGGCAAAATGTCTTTAGAAGCCGAACAAATAACAATAGACATTTAATGTATCTATGCCAGTGGTTCCCAACCTTTTTTAACTCACGGCCCACACAGCCAAACACATATGTTTCAGCGGCCCACTGCAAAAGAATTTAAACGATCCCGCTTTTTGTGTCGGGTTAACTAAGTACTCGGAAGCAAGGCTGTTAATTGTCTTTATTGAATAAACTGGTAA